AAATACTTTTTTCCTTTTCAATTTCATCCATCTTTTGGTAAGAAATTTGACATTCTTCATTCTATAACGTAGGGATTTTAGAGAAGGCGGCTAGGAAGAGTACCAAGGCATAAAACATCAAGAGATTGAAGACTTAAAGCTGGAATTGGAGAACAAAAGCAAGAGAGAATCCGGAATCAATTGAAGATTCGTTTGAAGGAATTCACAGGAGTCAAAATTTATTCTCTTTCATCTTCTTGCAATTATATTTTTCGGGTGATGATTATTCAAATTTTTTGTTGTAATTGCATCATTAGCAAGCTAGACAAAACTTGTTAAGTGTTAGGATGATGATGTAAACCTTTGATTTACCATTTTAATTCAAAGAATATTTTTTAGTATGATTTTTGTGGATTAATTGTTATCATATTCTTATGGTTTATTTAAATGTTTGATCACCATTTAAATAATAAGTGGCTAATTTTTTAGGTTTGAAATAGTTTAGCACATTGTGAGAATCAAATATAAGGTTCAAGAAACTTTAAGAATAATTGTTTATGCTTATGCAATCTTAATTAGGTAATCTTTTAAATTAATATTGTATCACAATAAACCAACAAATCAGCTCTTTGGGTTGATAGATCCCTAGTATTCAGAGTTTATTCTCAGCCAAGCTAAAGAATTCTATAATTATTTGTATTAGTCATATTAGAAAACAATTTAACAAATGCATGACTACCTACTGAGAAAACTTGATTTGCTAGTACCGAGTGCATGGAACAACCGAACAATTTAAAATCAATTTTTTCACTTTAGTTGCTGCAACTGAATTAAGAGTCTAGAACCAATGTGGAAATTGACAAGGAAAAAGAACTTACCTAAAAAGTGACTCGCGCAATGATCTGTCCATATGAAACTCATATGTCAAGTCAAGATCTTTCAGTGTGGTGCTCTCATCAATCTCGTCTTTCTTTGTAGATCTCCCTTGAGATGAACCCTTCAAATCATAACGATGATGAATGCGTAATTCTGTGCAAAACATATTTCCCATGACTACAAAGCGAACCTGTAAATAAAGTTAAATCACATAATATAATCCTACATAATATTACTTTTCTTATAAATCAAAGTATCACTAAACAAAGAGGATAAAACCAGCATACATCCTAAAGATAAGTAATATTTGTAGCCAGAAAGAAACTTGCATTTATGACCAAGGAACTACCTTTTTCCCATGTTTTAGTGCTATCCTGTGCACCCCAAAGAATTTGGTTATAAGAGTATTCTCGTGCTCTTGTACGTGTTTATAGTAGTGCGGCAGCATCTTGATTAGAGCCTACACAACATTAAGAATAACAGCCGTGCAATAGAAGAGTAATTAATAGCATTTCCAAGTCAATTTGTGATAGATAAGACAAGCGGACATCCTAAATAGCAACCCAATGTAATGCATATCATACATAGACAAAAAAATGCAAGTTGAAGCCATAAAAAATCCTCATGCATTCTTCATGCCAACTATTTATTCCCATAACCCTGTTCAAACTGCAATGCAGTCCATCGTCCAACTGCTCAGTCACCGAGAAAGAGGGGAAGGTGTTGGAACACTCTGGTGCTTAAGTTAGTATGTATTTATTGTTTGACAGAAAGCAAATGGACAGACTTCGATTAAGTTTTCATATTTTCCCTACCTGTACATCATGCTCAGCTTAATTCATGCCATCAATTCCATAAAAATCTTTTAAGCTCGGAATTCATTGTTGAGTAGGTAGGTGTCCTGCAATGTCATGTAATCCAAGTAGCCTTTCTCCATTTCGTTAAATTCACCTTACTCTTATGTATTACACCACCGTGAGTCCTCATTTCTTATCGATAACTAAACTAGAAACCTAAAATCTCAGTTACAACATAATTCTTAATGTAATTTCAATATCATCATTATTCATATTATGACTGAAAGGACATAATATCTATCCCCTATTAATTCCACTGAACAATTTTATCCGCTAAGAACATAGTTCAAAGGACTCATTTTAGAAATGTTAGTCATGTAAATTCATCCATTACTAGAGAAAAATACTAAGGATAAATTACTAGAAATGATAATCATAAGATATTCACAGTAAATGCATGGAATAGACAAACCTTCAGCTCAAACTTTTTCAATGTCTTAATCACAAATTTATCATCATTAGAAAGATAGAAAAGGCTTCCACTTTTCCCTGGAGAAGATAGTTCTTTCAGTCCATCATCACTACAGATGGACATCATATAGTCTGCAGCATTCAACTTGAACATCTCTCTCAAATTCCTGAAAGTGAGATCCAACACGCTCGTGCCAGTCATTAAAAGATACAATCATGTAAAAACATTATACAACGAATTATACAGGAATTTCACAGGTTATCATACAGGGACTTTGGTAGAATACAACTCAGACAAATCCAAAGAATTCTTGGAGTATACAAAAAATTGAGGAAATTTCTGTTCGTGGGTCAGAGAGAAGACTGGCGGAAATTGAGAACAAGTCCACTTTTTATTCTATTCTTCCTTCATGCCCTTCTGTTACTATGAATCTATGATTATTTCGTCGTTTACATTTTGCGAGGGAGTGACTGAATGTGGAGATGCAGTATAAGCATAATTAAAAACTGCCCACTGTTTTACAGATGATTAGAGGAAACTGCTAGCTGAAGGAATGAAAGGAAATGCATAGTAAATTAGAATTCCCTTCAATGTTAATTGCAAGTGCAAATTTAATGAATTCATGTCAGTTATCTCAACCTAAAACAAAACCTTAGAGGGTGTTTGACCCCCATTTTTAGATTGATGGAGAATGTGTGGATGAAAAGTTTTTGATTTACGTGTAATATTATTTTAATAAAGAATGTGTGGTTGAAAAAAAGAGAGAAAAAAATGCATTTTGAGAAAAATGGGAATCAAATGGGGCCTTAGTCAGATTACAGAAATTAAGGGATGAATGAGCAGATGTTGGCCACTCCATAGGTTTCATACAATGACCAGCATGTGTTGCATGCACTTCTTATCTATGTCAAACAGCAACTAGATGCTAGCAGTATGCCTAAAACGCGTTTCAATAAATAAAAGGTCGCTTAATTATCAAAACCTACATCCCCCATGAATTAGAAATTGCATATACTGCAGTCCAAGAAGCATCACCCCTCTTGTGGTAACAATACATTATTACTTGTGCCCTTTATTTAAAAATAAACAAGACATAAATCCAAATTAGTGGTTGTAATCAGAAGGTGTGAGAAGAATCCTTAAAAACATGTAAAATTGGAATAATAACCAGATTGCTAGGCACAGATATCTGCAGAGCTAATCTCCCTATATACGAAAGGCAACTAAATTCCTTCCCAGATAAATGAAAGAAGAATTAACTTGTAATATCAAACTCATAGGAAAGATAATTCTATATTAGAAATGAAGGAGGCATTTACGTTAAATCCCGCTTAAGAATTATTTTTTTATTTTTTACAGTTATATCCACATATATAAAAAGATCCAGTTAACAGTCTAAGTAACCTAAAACGACGAGGAAAAAAATAAAAAATAAACCTAAAATTTCTTGTACATAGCAGAAGAAGAATAATGTAGACTCGATATAAAAGGAATGCCAAAACATTAAAACACCAAGCACCAGAAATGATGTGAAAAGATAGTTACATGAAGACCATAGGACAGTAGTCCTTCCAGAAAAAGTCAACTGAATTGTGCGGAGGAGTCAACTGGGAACCGTTACTTGGAAAATACATTCTTATTCTGGCGTGCTCTCCAAAATCAGATGGTCTCACTTCGCGCATAGGAACGGGTGTGATCCTGCCTACAGTGTACCTGTGAACGTCAGATGAGATGTTTAAGTAAGATGTTCCACCGCCATAACATCAAATTTGACTTTTTCAAGGCAGGGAAAAGAAAAACATAGTAAAGGAAGAGAACCTCTTTTGTCTACCTGATACCAAGCTGCAAGCTAAGCATTAGATAATAGCTCCTGTGGCTTTCAAAAAAGTTCACAAATGAGCTCCTTTGGACCTCTTTTGCAAATTTGAGATGATGCTTGTTTTTACGGGATAGTTTGGATATATTTCTAGTTCTTTCCTTAATAAGGACTCCTTGCATATATTCCCTCTCATAAGCCACAGCACTGTTATCTTGTAACTCACTTCGACTATCTCTCAAGCTGCAAGATAAGGATGATGTAATTTTTCTAGTAGGATCAGTACAGCCCCAATCAGCATCCAGGGATATAGTTTTATGTGACATGCGTCCTGAACCTCTTAGGAAACTATGCGAAATTTTATCAGAAAGACTATGCTTCACACTAGGTATTACAGATTCCTCCGAATCTAATGATGAACTATGTGATAGCATCTTTGTCTTCTTGTCTTCCAGTCCCTCAAGATTATGCTCACTTAGATGCTTACTTCCAGCAAGATAGAATATTCCACGTCCATCCTTCAGCCCTTTGGTCCATGTCCCAAAATAATAGCTTCCATCAGCGAATCTATAGAAGCCTGAACCGTGTCTTAACCCATTCAACCAGAAGCCATCAAAAAGATCACCATTGGACCATCTCATAACACCTCTACCAGACATTTTCCCTTTCTTCCAATTTCCAATATATAAGTATCCATTGCTCCATGCATACCTACCACCGCCTTCACGTACTCCTTCTCTCCAACAACCGTCATAAATGTCTGAGTTCTGATATTGCTTCCTTCCAATGCCATGCTGAGAATTCATATTCCAAGAACCTCTGTATATGGACCCATCAGAAGCAGTAAAAGTTCCAAAACCATGGAGGTAACTCCCAGCAATATCACCCTCATAGGTAGCCTTAGACGACCAAACTATCTTGCCTTTCCCTGTCATTTTCCCTTCTTCCCAGTCACCATCATAAATTGTTCCATCTGACCAAGTATATTTACCATTTCCATGCGGAAGCATTCCCTTGAAATTACCAAGATATATATCTCCATTTGAGAAGACTTTCTCACAACTCCTATTAGATGAAAGTTACAATTACATTATTCATTTTCCCATGTGCAAGTGAAAACAACAAATCCAGAGTTTAATTACTAGAACCTCTTTAGTCTTAAATGGTTAGCAGTTAAGTACCTTTCATCAGTCTCCATAACAAAAAGATTATAAACTAAATACCTGCACAACATACAAGAAAAACTTCTCAGGCACCTTGTGTTATGTTAATCAATCAATGGTAGTATCTTACAATGATATGTCTTCTTCCACTTCTACAATCTGATCTATTCAAAACTTCCATACGTATTAGAACAGGAAAAATAAACTTCCTTTATATGGTAAACTCTTAACCATCAATGGTGTCTATGCAACAAAATATTGTTTTGCTATCATTATCTTTTAATTTTAATTTTTCTCTCTTGCCTCATCATTTTAGAATGAGCATTTCGGTTCGATTATCTATGATTAGTTTAGAACTTATATCAGCTAACTAATTGGTCAAAAATTTAATGAGTTCTAGTAAAAGAAGAAAAGATTACCATGTTCATTCTGCGTCTTTAGGTGACCGCAGAATTAACTCCAGATTCCACAAAAGACCTGTCAACTATAATAAACAAGATATGATGTTATAAAGTAAATATTGTGATATTCAGCAATAGCAATAATTACATAATCTAACTGAAAGGCAAAAATTCAGAACTTCATCAATCTCATCAATCATGTGCAGTAATAAGAATTATAAAGTTGAATAATACAAACTCTGAAGATTTAAGTTCCGCATAGATCAAATTTGAATTCAGATAGCTCAAGTGATGTGGAGCTGATAAAATGACCAACATGGTACAAAATTTAGATCAAACCTAAGTTTCAATTGGGTTGAATATCAATGCATTTAATACTATAATAAATCAGATATTATATTTGCATATAGTATTGCATTTTCTTAAACTAAAAAAGCTGTGTTTCGTACAAATCATATTTTTCGACAATAAAATTGATTCGCTGAACAAAACACTTATAGCCTAAAGATACAAGTACAGATGACGTGTAAATTCTCCAATCACTGCAGTATTAAACAACAATTATATCTATCAGATTCAAGTTCATCAATCGATCTTACTTGTGAGTGGTAAAGACTGAAAAATTAACAGCTATAATGATGCTATTAATTGAGCAGCGATTAAATCAATTACCACCATAATAGTTTATTTTAACGTCATTATTACGATCAAAAGCTGAAAATCAAGTATTGAATCGCTCACCTGAGAAACTGTTCCGACAGTTTTGAAAAAACGTCAAGGAATACCCTAGAAATTCTCAGCGAACAGTTCAAAACAAATACAATCTGAAAATTTGCACGTCAAAATTTCGATATTAATTTCTTGTGCTTCCTTTTTTTTTTTTGCTCTGTGATAAATATTTCAATACCGTTAAACCTCTGCTTCAAGAAATTCTATTGAAGTTCCCTTTTTTATACAGTGACGAGACAAAAGGCGTGGTCAGATAGCGACGGAGTACATTTACAGCAATTTAAAGGTGACACGTGGCGGAAACAAATTGTGGGGGCGATGATCTTTCGTTTATGATCTGTGGGACCAATTAATTTAAATCGTTCACTTGGTGGCGTATAGAAAGCAACATGTGCTGAGTTGTAGGTGATTCTGGCTGTTGTCGAACTCCTTGCCACGTAAAGCATATAGGGTGAGTATTTATCCCTGTTTGAACCCCATTACATTAAATTCTATTACATTTCATTTCTCTCTCTCTTATTTTCAACCACACAATCTTTCATAAAATAATATTACACGTAAATCGAAAACATTTTATTCTTTTTCAACTACTTATTTTTTAAAAAAATACTATTCTTCCCATTAATTTTTCCACGTAATGGGGATCAAACAGGGGCTAATTTAGCCCTGGACTACATTAAATTATATTTTTAGAGGAAAAAAATTTTAGGGTAGTAATAAATATATAAATTAGAAAGAATAAAAATTTTGAGTTTATATATTATATTATTTTTTTTAGAGACTGTGTAATTAAAAAGAGAAGAAAGAAAAATTCATTTCGAATAAAATGAAATTCAAACAAATACTTAATTTAAAATGGAAAAAAATTTATTCTGATTAAAAAAGAAAAAGACGAGGTGCATCCTACGCTGAAATGTTTTAACAGTAGTCTCGAAGCGAATCGTTTATACTAAGGTGAAATGTGTAGAATGAAATAATAAACATAGATAATATCTCGTGTTTTAAAAAAAAAACAAAAAAACAAAATTAAGATACAATATTTTTTACTAAACTTTCAAGCCTCGAGATGAATATTAATAGCCTTGAAATTTGACGTTGTCGAATGATTAACATATCCCAACTCCTCTACTTAATTCATTTCCATTTTTTAGCACCGTTAAGGGTATGGTATGAAAATGGTCATCACGGTCTCAATTTGATTGAGAATCGAGTTTTCAAGTAGTCATCCCGTCTACTCACACAATCAGTAAAATACCAAATTATATAGAGAGGTCGAACTACTTTTACACTAAGGTCCTACTTGACCCACATTATTTTCAAAAAATACATTATTAAACAGTGAGTCGACATCATTCCAACCACACATACTTTAATAAAATAATATTACATGCAAATTCATAATTTTTCCTTATTTTTTATTCACACATTTCCAATCAATACAGTATTCAAAAATGCATTATTATGAAAATAATGTAGCTTAAACAAGATTTAAAACCTTAGATTGTGCACGAAGATGTTAAAAAATAGTCATTATATTTTCAATTCGATTGAGAATCGAATTCTCGAGTGATCATCTATCTACTCACACATAAATTTCAAAAAAGAAAAAGAAAAAAAAAAAAGAAATGGTGATCGTCTCATAGAAAACTGTAGATTGGGATCTATTTTATGCAAACTTACCAAAAATCAATGGGAAAGGGGAATCACAGGGCTAGCCACCCAGCTCAGATCTTTTGTATTTTTTGGTGTTGTCGGTCGCAGTTTACTTGGAATATATAGAAACTCGTGGAGTAGGTGGAAAATATAAATCCTAAAAAGTAAAAATCCTGAATTAAGGAATTCTTATTCTTTACTTTCTGTTATTCCCGTGCCTCCCAAGTAAGAATTTCGGATTCCTAAGAATGTTGATTGTTACGCCTATGTTTAGGAAGCAGATAATGTGATAGTCAATTAAACAAAAATAACTCGAGTTCTATACTCCATTTCGCATTGTCTTTTTCACATATGCTTTTCGAAGCGATTAGGACATACTTTTGTATGTATCGTCCTAAATGTTTTTATTTGAGACGAAGCCTCACATCTCTGATGAAGCATATTCTCAAGGCAATGAACATTTGCTACAATTGGCCTCTACCACAAGTCTCTCAACCAAATTGCACTTCATTAGATTAAATGAGACCACTTATCAAGCATATAGAGAAACCTCTTCTACCTATAAATACATGGTCATCACTCCTTCAAAGATAATCTAGGGCCTGTTCGGTAGTTGTTGATCTCGAGAATTGAACCCTCCACGTGGTCAACGGATAGCTACTCCATGTAATCCTTCCTACGCACAGCAACGCACGATCAGAAGCACGTGGCAGGAACCAGTGGTGGTGACGATTGCATACACTCCGACAGTCAAATCAGCATTGGGTGATCAGAACAGTGATCAAGTTATGCAAGAGAGTGGGGAGGAAAATATATATTTCTTAGTATGGAGAGCTAAGTTATAAGAGTTTCATTACCTCTTTCTCTTGTCAAACCTTAGGTATTTATAGATGTAAAGTACCGTTGGATGTGGGACACGTGTATGCATCTGAAGGTGTAAGGCGTCCGCTCATAGACGTCAATCAGTCGCGTATAGAGTGGGCGAACAATTAGTTCTTCTGAGTTGAGTTGATATAAAGTCGATACGTCACATCAACAAGACCTATGGAGATGTCACATCAATTGATCTTTGGAGACAGTGGCAACGGAGGAATCTGTTAAGAGAGTGTCTCGAAGTTGAGGGACACTTCGGTTACTTCAGTGGATCTACTCTTCACCCTGCAGCGCGCCATGTTGAGATCGTCAGGAGTGGGCATCACTTCGGATCCACTTCGGACAAACACGTGGTACTTGGGGGGATAGCGTGACTGTTTCTCCGAAGTGGTTTAGCTAGGGGATGGATGCGTGGGAGTGGTGTGACAGTTGTTTTGAAGTGATTTAGTTAGGGGTGTAACAGTAGTGATTATGAGAATTGATTTTTTTATCGTTAGATAGAAAAATGGGTCCCACCCGTGAGTGAAGAAATGAAAAATGACGACTGAAATAATAGTCAAAAAAATGAAATTTTGATGTGAAAAATTACTACCAAACGAAGGCTTAATCTTAAGCTTGTAATTGCAATCTAGGTAATATCCTCATCAACTTGATACCTATATTTTCTTTCATTCCTCAATTCATAATATAAATATTCTTCATCTGACTTGAGCATAAAATTGCACGCGAACATCACTCCTTGTCAAAATCACGTATCTAATGTAGTGTCCAAGTGAACATGTTACATACATGTGAAAAGGGAGAGAAGGGTTTAGATCCATTTTACAGTTGGATCTTGTTGGATTTCAATGTCAACATTTACAATTTGCCTTTTCGTAGTAATCGTCAAAATTGAAATTGACTCACACGTTTAACATCAAAATTTAGATAAATTTATTATTTGGTATTCTTATTCTTTTAAGTGTTTGACCAGTTATTGCTTAAAGGGGGTGTATTCAATTGAGATTTTTAATGACTTTTTGGAATTTAAAAAGCCTGTGGGTATTCAATTGAGACTTTTTGAAACTTTCTAAAAGTCACGGTGTATTCAATTGAGACTTTTAAAAAGTCTCTAAAAGTTACGGTGTATTCAATTAAAATTTTTTATAAGTTTTGGGGTATTCAAATTTCAATGACTTCTAGAGACTTTTTTAAGTCTATGAAGTATTAAGGGGGTGTATTCAATGGATATTTTTAATAACTCTTTAGGATTTAAAAAGTTTTGGGTATTTAATTGAGACTATCTAAAAGTTACGGTGTATTCAATTGAGACTTTTATAGATTTTTAAAAAGTTTTTAAAAGTTATGGTGTATTCTATTAAAACCGTTTAGAAGTCCTTATAAGTTTGGGGCATTCAAATTTTAATGATTTCTAGAAACTTTTATAAAAGTCTATAGAATACTAACTTTTATACAGAAAGTACTTATATAAAATCTTAAAATTTGTCTATCATTAATTACGAGATTTAGGAGACTTTTACAAAAAAAAAATAATAATAAAAAAAAATCAATATTTCTTTCCTTTAATCTTCCATGGATATGTATGATTAAAATTTATTTTTTCTATTGATCATATTTCATTTATCTTTCTTTTTCTCTCTTATTATTTATCTCCATTTTTTATGAAAAAATTAAATTGAATTCTTGTAGCTTTTTTCCTTTTTTCATTCATTTTTTTGGTGAAAAATATCTATTTTTTATTAAATTATAAAATTTTATATGAAAATTTTATAATTAAATTTAAATATATTGATTTTTATTTATTTTTAAAAGTATGCTATACTAATAATATTGAATCTCATATATGTGTGTGTGTGTGTGTGTGATTATTTATTTAATTAAGGTCTTAAATTTTTATTTTTTCAATTTTTTTATTATATGGGAAGAAAAAGAGGAATGAAAAGGGGAATTATAGGAACTAATAACTCGTATGTGAGAATTTCATACCAAATTCATGTGAATTCTATTTCAAATGAAAGTTTTAGAAAGTTTTTTGAAATCTATAAAAATTTTAAAATGAAAATCCATAGAAGTTTATGAAAGACTTTCACTAATTCCATACAAATCTATAAAAGATTCACAAAGTCCAAAAAAATCATCACTTAAAAAAAGTCAATCCAAGTTTTCAGAATTCTCAATTGAATACACCCCGCAAAGGTTTGTTTTCTTTAATTTCTTTTTTTTTTTTTTTTAATAAAAATGACCAAATTGAAAAATGGATATTGAATTCATTAGAAGAGTAAAGAAGGAAACAAATGGTATGGTGCACTCATAGAATTTTGTGATGTTAACTTTTCATTAATTTATGCAAAATACCTTTACTTTATGAGGCTTGTTGATTGAGAATAATCCTTTAAAAAATGGTATAAATATTCTCAACTCTTCAAATCAAAGGTCACTCGTTGGCCAAAACTTGATAATGGCCACATAGGATCTTGATTAGGGTTCTTTATGTACGAATCTTGTTGTGCAAAATGTTTGGTGTACAGGGGTTCATAGAACCCCTGTCAAAACTCGCAAATAATGGGGCCCACTCTGGTGTATGTGAGTCTTCGTGTGAATTCGTACTTGTATGTGTATCACAACCCTTTTGCTGTTTGTTGTTAATTTTTGCATGATTGGCCCCAACCATTTAA